ACAAAAAAAAAAAAAAAAAAAATTTTCTTTTTTCCCAACAAAAAAAAATATTAATAATATCAATAAAGACTCATGACAAGCTGAGAAAAATTGTGCTACCTTTAGTATGAATGGTTGATTTGAAAAATCTATCAAGAACTCCTACACATTGGGAAAAATGAGCACAGTAAGAATAGTTCACAGAAAAAAGGAATAGAGCATCCTAAACATGTGAAGCGCAGCCTCACTCCTCAGCAGGAAAAACACTGAAATGACAGTGTCATTTTTCACCTGCTGTATTGGAAGGGCTCAAAAAGTTTAAAAATACACGTAGTCTGGGAAGCCATGGGCCACTGATGGGCAGGTGATCAGGGTGTGGGCTCTGTGCATCAAAATGAAAAATGACCCAGGTTTGACTGATTCCACTCTCAGGAATGTATTCTGCAGATATACCGAGACGTGTGACAGGTACACGAGATGTCACTCCAGTTTTGTTTGTAATAATAGAAATTGGAAATTAGCTAGAAGTCCATCAATGCATGTGGGTGAACAGATCATGTTATGCACACCTGCAAGTGCAGACGTGGACACGGTCTGCACTGACACAGAAGACAACCCGTGGCAAGGCGAGCTGCCGGGTGCAGAAAATAAAACCCCCTCCTGTGTGTCCACAGGTCTAAGCATAGGACAAGCCCAGAACTGGCCCCCATAGTGACCTTTATCAGGATGACTCGGAGGCAGAGGGTCGGCAAGGCGAGCTGCCGGGTGCAGAAAATAAAACCCCCTCCTGTGTGTCCACAGGTCTAAGCACAGGACAAGCCCAGAACTGGCCCCCATAGTGACCTTTATCAGGATGACTCGGAGGCAGAGGGTAGGCTTTCACTCCACACCCCAGCGACATGTTTAAATAAGTACAAATGGCTTTGCACTTATTGTCTATTTTTAGAAAAATAAAATTTACTTGCTTAAAAAAGAAAATTTAGTGAAAAGGAGCATACCCCAGGAAGGCACTGTAGCTCTTCACGATAACAGGAATATTTGAGACCCTCCCTGCAAACCACAACAAAGCCCAAAGCTGCCCAAACTTACAGTGCTTTGAGGAAGACAGAACGGGGACAGACTTACTTTGAACGCATGTGACAAAATGTGGGTTTTTGGTGTACGGAGATCCGTATTTGGAAATGCACTCTGCAAGAGAGAAACAGACTGTGTGTCACTTCACACCACGGAGACTGGGTGCACTTGGGACTGTGCTGCGGTTTCTTAGCTCTGGAGAGGTGGCTCATTCACTTTGCCTGAGGAGCTATAGTCCTTGAGCAATAACAACAGTTTAGCTTTAACACGAAACATTTTAACCCACAAACAGGAAACATCTCCACCAAGGTGGCAGAACTCTGCACCCAGAAGTGTGAAAGCACCTGCCACGACTTCTGGAGTGCCTCCTACTGCACAGAGGGATCACTGAAAACATTTGGTAAGTTTTCCAACTGTAGTCAGAGAGCTAAACTTCAATTTCACATTGACCGTGATGTGAAAGTCGATCTGCTTTGGAGAAACTCCCCCAGGCCATTTGGCACGCTGCACTCAGCTTGACCGCGGATGTTCCACAAGGAGGAGGGAGGCGTGGTTCTGAACATCGGAAACTTGGAACTGTGTAGAAGGGGCGTTGAGTCCTTTATCTGGCCGTTCAGTAGGTCACTGTTGCTTGCCCATGCATAGGAAGACATCAGCACAGACAGCAAAAGGTGGCTGAAGGGCAGATGCGTGGGATAACTGGTCACCCTTCTCAGGACTCAAACCCCGTGCATCCAAGACGAGGCAGATCCTGGGCTTTCTTTCCAGGGCCAGTTACAGATCCACTTTGCTTTTTGCCAGATACAGACCCAGAGAAGGTGCCTCTGAGAGGCTAAAGTTAAAAAAGAAGACCCAGGAATACTTTTCTCTCCTTACAAGCGAAATACATCCAAAGAACTTTAAAATGGTGGTAACTAGATAAGCACTTCTCAAAGTGTAATCCAGAGCCTCTTGCAGGGAGTCGTGAGGTCAGAGCTACGGCCCCAGTAAGACAGGGACCTCACTGTATTTTCTCACCTCCCTCTCTCCCCCGTGTGCAGCAGGGTTTGCAGAGGCCACACGATACGCGGCAATGCCACTGCTCCTCCAATTAAACAAAAACACCCCTCGGTGTTCTCGGTTTTAACAAACAATATAGTAAATATTGATAAATACAGCCCACATGAAAAAACTCTTTGGAGTCCTCAATAGTTTCAGAAATGCAGAGTCCTGAGACCAAAAAGTTTGAGGGCCACTAAATCAGTCTTGTTTCCATGCAGTGAGCTGAGCCTGGAATCAAAGCCGAGAAGGGTTTGCAAATGACACTCGGACCTAGTGTGGAACAAAGATGTGGTGTAAAAGAGACACGCGTGTGTGTCTGACCCACGTGCTCCAGTCAGTCCCAAACTCACGGTGTGATGAAGCAATGCTTCCTCAAGGAATAGCTCCCTAACGGGATTTCTCGAAACACGTGTCCCCCAGCTACGCCTTAGGACAACTAAGAGAGCCGTGGTTTACACTTACCTAAGTATCTTGGATAAAAGTAGTCCTGTGGAAAAAGAAAGAGAAAGGGCAGTGGTTACCGGCATGAGCTGAGACTCCTGAACAACAGTCAGCGTGGGCTAACCAGACCTCGGCCTTTCTTCCGAGGAGGCAGAAGCAGACTCTGGACGTGGTGCTGCAGGAGGGGGCTCCCCACAATGGCTCCCTAAGCCGCCTTCTGCCCTGGAGGACCATGGCATGAGGAGAAGAGAGGGGAGCGGCTGGCTCTGCTTCTGCAGAGTGACCACAGGCAAAGCGGACCGTGTGCCTAGACTTTCTGTGACCAGCAAAAGCAACGCCATTTACAGCTACTGACGATAGGCCACCCATCGTGTCTCAGAGAAAGGCACCCTTAGCAGGATGAGAAATGTCCCAAGTAAAACCAAGTCCAGCCCCTCTCTGGACAAGCCTGAGCACCTTACTGTGTCCACTGCATTTACAGTATTTATCCATGAATGCACACGTAAGAGGTCCGTATGGAAGGTCTTTTTAACCCCATTATCAGGAATTTGCCTGAGGTCACAAAGCTGAAGCCGGGAAGGGCTTCAGATGGCTCAGGATCAGCGGGAGCTGCTGCACAGCGCTCTACAGAGTGACAACTGGAGGCGGCTCCGGCGCCGTCCTTCCACACGTGCGGGCGTCGTCAGCTGGTTCTGCACAGCCTTCTCAGCCACTTTCCTGTGCACTTGGGCTCAGCCCTCCGCCGGTGGGTGGTGCCACCCGAGGGTGGCTGCAGCTCGGGGAGACTCGATGGTGCTGCACACACTTGCTAAGATGTGCTCAGACATGGCTCCAGAAAGCTACGTTCTAGTAAAGATGGAATGTTTTTAAACTCTTGATCCTTTAAAAGAAAGTAAGAACCAGGGCAAGTTGTGACTGGTGGGAAGGCGGCATCCATGCAAATGCGAGGACAGAGAGCTGGGTATGGGGAGTCGGGGAGGGACCTCGGAGCCCTGCAGAGCCTGCCTTCCTCCTCTCTCCCCTGCTTTTGGTCACAGGCTGCCAAACCCTGAGAACAGGAAAGGCCAGCAAGGCCAGATGAGCTCTGGCGAAGCCCCTGGCCCTGGGACTGGAGGGCAAACTAACACCATGTCTCAAGGGGAAGGCTTTGCTTCCAAAATAAGACTCAGGAGGGATGAAAGACGTGTCCACTCCGGTCAGGAAACCAAGAATTAGGTTGAGGAAGGACTGAAGAGAAGACCAGTGAGTCAACCACCCAACTGTGCACAGATGCTTGCACTGCCAGGACTTTCCAGAAAGCATACCCTGTTTTTTAAAAATCCTAACTGGTCATACTGTCAACAGTCACGTGTGATCTGTTTAAACGGTGAGTTCTACTGCTGCAGAGAGGCGTTGCTAATAGAAAAGCCAGGCTCCCCTCCCCTCAGCCAACCACACCTATGGGAATGGCTTCCGAATAACCTGAGGCAGTGAGTCCTAATTTGTCTGCTTCGTCATTAGGGGAGGGAGTGGTAGGGGCAGCCCACATGTGAGAACGTGCCTGGTAACCACGGGAGAGGTGGCTGAACCCTGAGTAAATGCAGGGCTGAGAGAAATACACCTAAAATGGCCACACAGTCTCCCACAAGAAAGAGATTTCACGTGGCCCTTGGAAAGTTCTGGCACAGAAACAGCTGAGGAGTAAAAGGTGCCCAAATACACTCCGTGACGCCACAGGACCAAACACAGAGCACGTGGTTTTGAGATCCACCTGCCCCCCATCACCTGCATCACAAGTTCCTCAGGTGCATGACCCTTGGCCTGAGGCTGCAGCAGGGTGGTCTCTCCTGAGCAGCGCCCCTAGGAATCCCTGTGGAGCAGAGGCCAGAGAGGTCAGGATGCCGAGATTTAGGACCAGGGACGACCACACATACCTACCCTCCTTATCCACCCCAGGAGGAGCAAGCTCTCTTGGGTGAGGGGTGGGGTTGGGGTGCGGAGTGGGTGGAGGATGCTGGGACCAGTGGGCTGGTGATGGAACCCCTGTCACCAGGCAATCATTTTCCCCGGGGGTTTGCCTCTACTTTGCTTAAACAGCTAAAGATAGAAAGAAGTGAGCAAAACCTCAGAGCCCACACCATGAACTGACGCTCCAGGAGGTGAAGGGCAACACCCACCTGCCCGTCTCCAGAGGCCCTCAGGATCTGCCCCATGATCCACATGGGTGGATCATGAACAGATGGATGGACAGTGGACAAATAAGTACATGGACGGACAGATGGAAGAACTGACGGACGGACGAGCGGACGGGTGAGTGGCTGGAAGAGTGAGTGAGTGGATGGAGGCATGAATGAATGAATGAACAGGGGACAAGCCCAGGGTCCTGCAGTTCTCACTCAGCTGGACAAAGCACTGGGTCCTCAATCTTATCCATGCCACAGACAAGCACCCTGGAGAAGAGTTAAAATCAATGCTCTCAGTTTGTCTCTTTCAATATGGAGGTGTTAATACGATGGGTCCTCAAGTTAACAAACTGCCAACACAGTTTTAAAACTTAAATCCTCATTATTACCTGACATTTACCTAACTTCTCTTGTGCTATTTACTCCAAGAGCCCCACCCTTCCAGGTGACAATTAGACACATGCTGTTTACTGCGTGGAAGATACAACAAATGAGTCACCCAGAAGACCGGTGTGATTTGCCATCATCACTGGTAGGGGACTGCTCAGAGCGCAGCAGCCTCCTCGGGAAGCACACGCCCCGTCCAGAGAGCACCACACGCCAGGCACTTGGCTGGAGCTCCTGAGGCTCAGGGGTTTCAGGGCACCGGGCTTGGCTGGGAGCCCCGTCTGCTGGAGAAGGTCCAGTGTAAACAGCTGGGCTCCACCAGCAGACCCAGCTCCTCCTCGGATGCCTTCCTAACTGCATTCCTGCTCCCTTCGGCTTTACAGAAAAACTCATGACCTAAAGTGCCTTCCAGGGAGCCCGGCCCAAGGACGGCCTGGTTGAAGTCCACTGTAAGGTTTCCAAATTGTTCTAAAACTACAGAAAAGTGTTGTAATGAACCAACCCTCAGCCACAGGGACCCTCACTCCCACACCCTCTGTCTTTGCTCCCATAATTATTCGGCCACACATGACGAGGGGAGAGTAAGACAGGAGAACAATAGGTAGTTGGTGAAATCCTTGAGAATTCCCGTTTGTGGACACAACTTCAGCAAGACCTAACAGAACCCACCTGCCTCTGCCCTGTGCTGACCACCAGGACCCTGGTTTGCCCTCAGGGTCTTGTACTGCACCCCTCACAGCCACCACATGGCAAAAGTCAGGAGTAACAGGGAGCTGCCACGTTCCCCGTTGGGACAGGGTCAGCCTGGAGGACCGGGCTATTGACCTGGCGACGCATGGGGAATCTTCACCTGCAGGGCAGGGCAGTTCTGAAATCCCAGCTCCAAAGTGACCTTGTGAGCCTGGGCAAGCTTCCTGCCCCTGGAGCTAAGGTTCAGAACAGGGTGGGGTTGACCTCCCCACGCCCGGCCAAGCTCCACCCGTCCAGTGAACTCCCTCCAAGGGGTCGTCTGGTGCAATTCTTCCCTGGGTCTCCTCTGCAGTCCTTGCCCACCAGTCTGCAGTTTGGTGAGGGTTTTCAGTGGTCTCTTGATTAAACTAGACCCTCTGAGGGCAGATTTACTCCCCCAAAATGGTCAAAACCCACATGAGATGATAACATCCAACACAGTATGTTGTAACAATAGGAAACATGTTTGGGCCCAAAGTTGTTGAACTGACAGTTGCCCCCTCAAAGCTTACAAACAGAACCATGTCTAGCTCAGAAGGTTCCAGAACCTGGCAATCGCTGCCGGTGAACATTTCCTAAGCACCTTCATCTCCAAGCCTACTTTAACGCCTTGGGCACAGCAACATCTCTGCCCAGCGAGGGGTGGCACACAACGCCTCAATTCCTGTTTTCTTAAAAATGTGTTTTTCCATAAAATGTGTTTCACAAAATGCTCACTCCCAGTCTGCTGTGAGAATTAGATGTGTCAGTGAATGTGTTTGCAGAATGCTCTGCAAACATTTCAACCTCAGTTGTGCATGGATGTTTTTGGTGTGGACTTTTATCTGGATTCAAACAGTATACAAGGAGTCCCACGTTACAACCCAACCCATGGTGGTTATTTTTCAAACAGGACACTAAAAACTTATTACTACCTTTAGTGAATAACAGCCTAAATTCTGTTTCCAAAAATCTTTATATTACCTGACAGAGGAGGCTGAGACTCTGGGTAGCACAACTTTGCTTATTACCTATTTGGGATGTTTTCGATGGGAACAGTCAACAGGACTGACTAATCCCTGACCACCGCAAACCCGACTTCTAAGAGCAGCTGGTCAGTGATGTCAACCTGAGTTTCCGTTCCTGGAGCTTTCGCTTTCTCAGAGCTCGAGGCGCCCACAGACGCCGTTTCACAGCAGCCTCTCGAGAGGTCTCCACTCTGCAGACAAGGTGGGCTTGCTCCGCTCCCCCTGCTCCTGCCCACTGACCCCCCGGGCTCTGAGCCCGAAGCCTGGCAACGGGGCTCTGCTCATGCTCTTCTGGCACTGGCCATACAGAATCTTCTTTCCTTTTTTCCTCCAAAATTCATCACCTAACTTCTCCAAACCACTGCCTGCTTAAGCACTCCACATAACAGAAATGCCAACTCCACTGTCACACGGCGGGTGCTTCCCAGGGCTTGCAAAGCTCCTTGGTCCCAGCCCCACCCCAAGGACCCCGGGCTGGCCTGAAGGGAGGTAAGCCCCAGAGACAACACAGGCAAGGCCACCTGCACCCAGAGACGCAACCACATGCCCCTTGTTCCTAAAGTTCACACTGAAGCGCATGCTACGTTGCAGGGGTTCCTGCTGGAACAAGACCCCGGGTGTGCTCAGCAAGCCACAGTTATGGGAGCTGGGACGTCTCTGCAGTGTGACTTCACAGCTGTGCATCCTCCACACCTCACAACAAGCACATGGGGCCTGAAACAGCAGGGCCCTCGGGGAACGGTGATGGTCACGCTGGAAAG